GGGACTTAGTAAGTAGGTTTTTAATGGGAATAATTAGGGTTACTATATGGGTTATAGGGGTCATTAGCCTACTTACTAAGTCCCCATGACCCTCCAAGTAATCCCTAGAGCCACAAACTAACCCCAGTTGCGGAAGAGAGAAAAGAAGGTTTTCAATACTTTGCCTAAACCCTAAACCCTAAACCCTAAACCCTACTTTGCAGTAGAGAAGGGGAACCCGGATGTAACCAGCTGGTAACCTTTAGAAGAAAGCTATAGGGCTCCAGGCTTCGAATGCCTTACCCACAAACAAATTAGAGACCTGCACAGGAGCCCTAAACCCTAAACCCCACAGCCTAAACCCTAAACCCTAAACCCTACAGCCTAAACCCTCAACTTTAAACTGTGTTTATTGCCCAGTATCTGATAGATCAGGCATGCGAAGTCGGCATGAAGACCTGCCAGGGCTGAATAAACCCTACAATGGACTACTTAGGGCTTAGGGTTTTAGTTTAGGGTTTAGGGGGTATAGGGGTTCGGGGTTACAGAGGCTATATAGGGACATATGGTAATTTCCCAAAATAAGGAGAATCCCACTATAGCATATACTATTGTTTGATGAGACACCCAAGAAAGTACCCCAAATTTGGGAAGCCCCATAAATAGCGCCAGGTGCCTTCCTGACCCTCGATCTGCTCCAAAAAACAAAAGGGTGGTTCCCAAAAGTGGGGGGTACCTTTTTAAAGGGGGTTATAGGGGTTATATTGGGGCCATACAGGGATAATGGAGAAGAAAATGGATATACTGTTCAGGGTTTAGGGTTTCCCCAAGTGGGGGTACCATTTTGGGGCCCCCAGAATAAGCACTATAGTATTTTGCGGTCTATCTTGGGGTCCCCCTATTTTGGGAAACTACCAAAGACACTTTTCCCTGGGGTTTTTGGTTTAGGGGACATTCATTCCAACAACTCCCGCATGCTGTAGCAGCCTAGAACAAGGAGCGTAGCGTTCTGGAGTATATGATGCTGTAGGTAAATGAGGGTGAAAAGCAAAAGCTGCAAAGTATTCCGGCTTCCACAAAAGTCATGTCTGAGGAGGACCCCCACTCTGTAGTAGTAGAGGTGAAATAGTAATGTCCTAGGACCCTCATGTTATCCTTCGTATCTTTATAGTCACTATTACAGCTTGGGGGTGGGGGTGTCGGGTCCACCTAAGTCATAAACCCTAAGCCCTAAACCCTAAACGGGTCCACCTAAGTCATATCACCTGAGAACTCACAACGCCACAATGGGAGCGTCAGGGAGTGCCATGGAAGGAAAACCCTAAACCCTAAACCCTAAACCGGTTTAGGGTTTAGGGTTTAGGGGCAACTTTACTGGGTTGCTGTTAAGGAACTTGATTTACGGCACTACATTGGTGGTATGAAATCGGGTTTAGGGTCTAGGGTTTGAGGCTTTAAGGTTTCCCCTATAATGGGAATGAAATGGAAAAGAACATGGAGAATGAAATGGACAACGGTGTATTTGTTGGATTTACGGAACTCAATTTAAACTACTATATTGGGGAGGCCCTATGCTACATATAGATATATACATATATATACCTGTCATGGTAACTTAATTTAAGCTCATGAACAGCAACCCAGTCAAGTCATACAGAGCTCACAACTCTTAACCTTCGAAACCCTTAACACCAAATGCGCCCCAACGTAAAGTGAAAGAGAACTAGGAAGCCGCACCCCCATCACCACACCACCCCCAACAAGACCGACACTGCACAAAAAGCCTGACAAACATTGACACTCTCAACATGTGCCTTTAATTGCTCCCATGTATGTTGGGGAGAACCACCCCTAAACCCCAAACCCTAAACCCTGAACAGTGTTCAACCTTCGTCGCGAGAGATCAGCTCGTTTGAGAACGTGAGTCCCGGCATCAAGCCTCTCCTTTGACAAAGGCAAGGTTTATGTTTTGGTTTAGGGTTTAAGGGTTTAGGGTTTAGGGGTTTAGGGGTTTAGGGGTTTGGGGGTTTGGGGGTCTGAGGGTTTTGCGGTTTAGGGGTTAGAAGTTTCAGGTGTGGGCTTTAAAGCTAGCGTTTGCGTACCGCTTACGAATCTGCCCAAAACGCACCAGTGCAAGAGGCACAAACATGCATGTTACATAAAATTTCTGGCATGGTATTTCACCAAATATTCTTGCCTCATATGCTTTGCAGATGCAATGGGATGGCAGAAAGACATCTAAGGATCCGAAATGCCTGGGGCATGATTGCCCTTTTGACTTATCCTTGCCCTAGGGGGCCAAGTAGCCCAATGTAGGTAACACTTACAGACTTTAGGGCCCAATGTAGGTGTTAGTTGTACACTTGGACTCTTCGGGTTGGGAGCCCAGCCCGGAACCCCTAACCTCCCTTGATTTTGTTCAGGTTTAGGATCTAGGGTTTAGGGTTTTAGTTTAGGTTTAGGATTTGGGGCTTAGGGTTTTAGTTGCAAAAGTCCTGGGTAGCCTGCGAACTCTGAACCGTAAGGGTTTAGAACCGTATGGGGGTTAGGGGTTTGGGGTTTAGAACCGTAAGAGTTGTGGATTTAGGACTTACCCGGCTGCTGAGTTCCGGGGCCCAAGATTTTCACAATGTAAAGCGTGGCAAAGTTGAGAAGATATGTATCCCCCACACAAGTCTGACAGATAAGTATTCAAGTATGACGAGAACACTTACCTAAACTGCCAACAAAGTTGTAGAATAAATTCTATCCACTTCCTTGGGTTGAGGTAAACCCCAACCGTGTGCCAGAAGAACTAAACCCACCCAGGCTTGCTGAAACAGGCAAAACAAGGAGCCCTTGTCCTAAGCCCTAAAAACCTAAGACTCCAAACCCTAACCGCCAAAACCAAACATAGTGGTTAGCTTCAGTACTGCCCCCCCCTCAGTAACAGCTGGAGAATAACTATAATATAGTTATATATAGCCCTTAATGGGACCCCTAATATAGACTGTTACTGGGTGGGGGCCGTACCCAAATTGTCTTCCTTTCTGGGGCCCTAGACAATCCTGGGCCTTATAATAGCATAAAACCCCTACACCGTACACCCTAAAACCCTGAAACTTATGTCAACCCTAAAGCGCCCTGAGCCCCTAAAGCCTTGAACTCTACCCTCTCAACCTAAAACACCCTGAAACCCTGAACAAGACAAGGAATCTAGCCCTGAAACCCTAAAGCCCTAAGCCCGAAAACCCCTAAAAAACCCCACCTTAAGCCCTAGACCCCCTAAGCCCCTAAAACCCCTAAAGCCCCTAAACCCTAAACCTCAAAAAAAACCTAAACCCTAAAACCACCCAAACCCCTAAACCCTCAAACAAGACAAGGAGTCTTCTTAAGCCAGAAGATGGCACAGAAGGAGCCGCTGAAGAGGATCTGAGGTTTTGGGAGGTTTAGGGTTTTGGGGCTGTAGGGTTTGGGGCTTTAGGTTTTAGGGGTTAGGGTTTAGGGGTTTAGGGTTGCGGGGTTTCATCCAGGGTTTGAGATTTTTTGCGGTTTTAGGGGTTGGGGTTTCAGGGTTCTAGGGTTTGGGGCTTAAGGATTTTAGGGTTTAGGGTTCTAGGGTTTGGGGCTTCAGGCTTTCAGGGTTTAAGGGCGGGGGGGTTCCTTTTTACAGGTGGTACCCTCCTGCCAACTCAGATGCCAACTCAGATGGAAACCCGTAGTGGGCACTTCTAAAACTCTAAGGGTCCACGTGGGAGATTATACAGGGATTAGTTTGGAGAATCTCCCATTTGGTCATCCAAAACCCGAGACTCCAACCCTAATCCCAAACCCTAGACCCTAAACCCTAAACCCTAAATCCTAAACCCTAAACCCTAAACCCTATAAACCCTAAACCCTAAACCCTAAACCTAAACCTCTCTTACCATATATATTCAAACCCTATTTATCTAGTGGCCCAAGGCTCAAACCGTTGTGGCCCAAAGCCTGCTCCTCTT